CATCCACAGTGAAAGCTTTCACCGAAAATGCATTTTCGCGATGTAATATTTGAAAAGAAAACAGCTGTAACTACAATATTAGATCGTAAGACTATTAAGTGCAGGGACAAAAAATAAAACTGATAAACGTAATTCAATAGATCTAATGTTTAAAATGATTGTATTAACGTACATACAGTACATTTAAAAAAAATTGTATAGAAAATATATAAAATTATATTTTTACCTCCTTTTTTATTTGCTCATCATTGGTGCTGTTAAGTAGATCATGAATAGTAGTACCGATTTCTTGAGCTTGACTTTTACAGGCCTCGCAGGCCCACACAAGTAATACTATTTTTAAAATGTTAAATCCCGTGGACATTATAAGTACATCAAAGTACTGTTTATCCAAATAAAAAAACACTCCATCTTGCCAGCGCACTATATAGAAATACAATTCAAAGGTGATGGTAGCGTAGGTCATGACTATAGTAGAAGTGACTTGCACACTGAAGATTAAGTTCAGCATTTGCACTATGTTGCTAACGATCAAATGTTGCTTCTCTAACATTTTGAGTTTGATCAGCAAACATTTATTTCTCTGCTCGTTGCAAATAAACCTCGGTTTATATAACTTTATATCGTTTACTATCAGTCTTTGTACATGTGCCAAATTTTCGTTGATTCTCTTAAAACAAGCCTTTAATACACAAACACAATTTATAAACATCATATTTATCTGAAATCCCAGTAAGCCGACGTATGTTGCGGACGTCACAGTCAAAATATTCCACCAATTAAATTCCAAGTCAGGTACTTTAGAATAATTTATATATATTTGCACGACTCGAAAGGTAATGCCCAATATATCCTTGATGTGAATAAATTTGGACATCTTTTGATATGACTCTGAGGGTAATTTCGAAGATATCTTTAAAATCGTCTGTAGTAATCGCATTCGCGGACCACTCGAGACGTGCGTGATGATCATTATGAAAGTGCTGAACATTAAGTAATTAACTGCGTCAAAATTATGAGTTATGTCTCCAAAGCTGAATGTGAACATAATAATATTGTAAGTGTATATCAGATTTATAACGGAGCAAACGCAGATAATTACAGTTGATAGGATGTAGGGCGATTTTGAAGCTACAAAAGTCGAAGCTTTCATTTTGTATGGAAATATTCCGAGACTACGGCAAATGATGAAGCAGGGATACATTAAGGATTCGAAGTCCGTGGCATGGAACAGCCACCATTTTTTCCACATTTTATCTCTAACTTGTACTGGAATTGTTAAACTGATTAGCAAAAATTTATAACGAAATTAAAATGTTATTAATCAATACACTTTAGCACTAATATAGATGTAAATAATATAGATGCGATAATTTTGTTTGTAAGTATATCTTCAAGTCTGTCTCTTCGTAACGAGTGTTTAAATTGCTATGGTCTTCTTGTTCTACACTCTATGAATTTAAGTTTAAAACTGCGAGCAAATCTTGCGTCAAACAGAGAGACAAAAAAGTATTTGTTAGTCGTAAAGTAACCATGGCATTCTTCGATCGACATTTGTTTCTCTTAAAGTGGATTGCACAAAGAAATAATGTATTATTGTTGTAACATATGACACACTAATTTACGTGTACATGAAATGGAATGTTGGCTGATTTATTTGTCATATAACAAGAGAAAGGTTTAATGAAAGGCATGAAAACTATCATTGTACTTTGATGTTATAATAAACACTTGATAAAAGTTTTATGTTATTATCAATAAGCAAAAATCCACGTGCAAATGTATCTGCAATAAAATATTTGGATGGCTTTTAAAAATAAATTTAAGACATTAAATTCACTTTTAATATACTTATATTCTAACTTTTGGCGTATATATGTGTATGTAGGTACATAGGTATTTAAATGCAAATATGAAACATGAAAAAATTATATTCCATTTGTATCGATGAAAAGTAATTATTACATAATATTTAAGTGATTCTAAAAGCATATTTATTTGTTTACTAAAAATATCTTTTTATAATTAGAGTATTTCAGCAATATTGCTTGCTGTTTTTCCTTTGCAAGAATCCGATATGAATTGAAACATTATTATTAAGTATGTGATAATGCTACCCATTATCTAGAAAGA